AATAAACTCAAAATGGGTAAAGGACTTAAATGTAAGATGGGAAAGCATAAAAATCTTAGAAGAATCCATAGGCTCCAAAATAGCATACATTTTTTCCTAGTAATATCTTTACAGCAAAATAAACCTTCAACAAAACAACAAGAAAACCCACTGCATGTGAGAACATATTTGTCAATGTTATCTGTGACAATTTAGTCTCCAAAATTTACAGGGAACTCATACAACTTAACAAAAAGAAGATAAACAATGCAATAAAAAATGGGCAAAGCACTTAAATAGACACTTTTAGAAAGAGTACATACTGAAAGCCAATAGACATATGAAAACATGCTCAATGTCATGAATCATCTGAGAGATGCAAATCAAAAAATAATGAGGTACCATCTCACACCTGTCAGGATGGCTATCATCAGCAAATCAACAAAGTGCTAGAGAGGATGAAGAGAAAAAGGAACCCTCCTTCAGTGCTGGTGGGAATGCAGACTGGTGCAGCTACTGTGAAAAAACAGTATGGTGTTTCCTCAAAAAATTATAAATAGAAGTGCCCTTTGACCATGCAATACCACTTCTAGGAATACTAATATATCACAAGAAATCAGAAATACCAATCAGAAAGGGTATGTGCACTCCTATGTTCATAGAAGCACAATTTACAATACCTAAGATTTGGAAACAGCCTTAATGCCCATCAGCAGATGAGTGGATTAGAAAACTGTGGTATATATACACAATGAAATACTACACTGCTGTAAAAAGGAAGGAATTCTTACCATTTGCAACAGCATGGATGGAACTGGAGAGCATTGTGCTAAGTGAAATAAGACAGTCAGTGAAACAATTTTAGATTTTTACAGAATCCTCTGTCATTTTCTTCTCTTATATCAGACATAAAGCTTAAATCACAACTTGTTTATGGTTTTTTATGCTCTACTCCTATTTCTGTTCACTAATTTGGGGGGGCACAAAACAACTCTGAGAATTAGGGAAAATGGAGAGGGAGATAAAAGGTATTAACAGGTACAAAATGCCTAGTATATTTCAGCCACCATTTTAGGTACTTTTTCACACAGTATCTCTTTTTCACTCTATGATGGGGAGGAGGGATATTTGGATGGCTCTAAGGTTCCCTAGATTAGGAAAGATGTGAGGCAACCCTGCCAATAGTCAGCTCTTCCAGAAGCCCAACTCCTTATTCAGCACTGGTGATATAAAGTAGGTCGTTAGAAATGAGTATCAAAAGATTTTTGGAGCTAGACAAACTGCTTGGTCATCCTTAAAGAAGTAAAAATTGAAGGAAGAGGGAGGGGGTTCTGTCAGTTTTCTGAGGGAGAAAACAGAAGAAAGGGGATTTGAAGTTAGTACCTTGAGGATTTCTTCTATTTTGAAATCAAGAGCAACAAAAGGAGTTAAAAAAAAAAAAAAAAAAAAAAAAAAAAAAAAGGAAAGCCAAAACCGGTTTGGCTCAGTGGATAGAGCATCGGCCTGTGGACTGATAGGTCCTAGGTTCTATTCTGGTCAAGGGCATGTATCTTGGTTGTGGGCACATCCCCAATGCAAGAGGCAGCTGATCAATGATTCTCTCTCATCGATGTTTTTAACTCTCTATCCCTCTTCCCTCTTCTCTGTAAAAAATCAATAAAATATATTTTTAAAAAAGATAAATGCACTCAGAGAAGAAGACAGTAAGGACAGCGCTGAGGCTTGAAAGCCAAAGGAAGAAACCCATTTTAGTATGATGTCACCCTGGGAACATGGCTCTGATTATCTCTCTGGGCAACAACTCAGAAAGATCCCAGTAGCCAGCCTGCTGCTCCACTAACATAAATGCCAAAAAAAAATCTAGGGCAGGTTGCAGCAAAATAAAATAAATAGATGAAAGCAGTTGGTGAACATTAACCATACTCATACGTAGGTGAACACATGTCTTGGAAAATCCTGGCCATCATCAGTTTATGTGACATCCAAGGAGTCAGCAACGTTACAAAGATAAGTACACAGCTTATCTGCCAAGAAATCCTGAAAGATACCAAATTACAGAACCATAAGGTCCCAAAATGACTGAGCTGGAATAGCAGACCAGTTAATCTAACCCCATTGTATTAAAAATGTGGAAACAGAATCCTAGAGAAGGGAACAGGCCTGCAAAAGGTCATACAGGGAGTTAATGGCAAAGCCAGATAGAGAACCAAGGTCTTCTGCCTCCTCTTCCTCCCATTTGAGTGTTTCTGAGCAAGAAGTGAATAAGAAAATGATTGGTGAAAAATGTTACCAGTAAATTTATGGGTTTTTAAAAGCATATCTGGTTTTCAAAATATGATCTTAGAATGTCAGCACTAGAGCAGACCCTAGAGTTAATTACCTGATGGGATGTTATTTTTCACCTGAAGAAACTGAGACTTAGTTTCTTCAGGGTTTGGCTGGTTAATGGTGCAGCCAATCAGTTCCTCAATACAGCTCTCCTGCTTCCTTGGCCTGCCTATTCACGGAAGCTGAATCATACATATGTACAAAATCTGCAAACAATTATTTAAGGAATAAATACCACAAAAACAGTTTTTCTCACCTCTCCTGCAAGTGCTGTGGGAATCAGAACATAAGGAGAAAGTTCAAAGAAATGAGAGATTGAATGCAACCTCTAGAACAGGATAAATAAGAAAAGACAAGGGTAGATGGGTTAAATGACACACATCTACTGGGGCTTGGGAGATGGATGACACAGGGATACAAACCAGAGAGAGCCCTAGGTTCAATCTTCTTTGGCTTAGAAAAGGGCGCTTTAAATTAAGTAACCTCTGATGATATTTTAAATTACAAGAGACAATAGGGACTCTATCCTATAATTTCAGATGAGAAATCTGAGGTTTAGTAGGGGAAGGGACTTGCCCAAAGATAGACAAGGAGGCAGTGTCAGAGCTAGGATTTTAATCCAAGGTCTTGGGCTCAGCAGTCAGTGTGTCTTCTCCTCCCTTATGGACTGGAGAAAGCTGGTGAATGTTTACTAAGAAAATTCAATAGGCATACACTAGGCTACTTTTATATTAGAGTTTTCACAATAGGGTTTATACACTTGGGGTGGTCTCTTCTATTCTGCCAGCTCTTCTTTATGGCCAGAACTTGACAATGGAGGATCTAGGTCAGTGATATTTGGATAGATGTGGAAGGATATAAGAGCTAGAAAGTTCATTGACACAAAGCCATAAAAAGCAAGAATAACAGCTGAAACATTGCCTGAAAATACCTAGCACAATCCAGATAGGCAGATACAAATTACTGTATATACTAATCATCCACAATTCCCATCTACTAGGGGAATCTTGGGTAAAGCTTCAATTACTCCTTCCTGGTACCAAAAGAATTATTGTCCATATTAAGTGAAGGGTTATTGAACATGGAAATTTCTGGATTAGTGTGAAAATGGGATTAAATGTGTCTGCCCCTAATTTACTAGTTGACCACAGGCAGGCCAGTTACCATTTCTGATCTTCAATTTTTCCATGCACTACAGGTAGGAGATCCTGACTCCAGCTTCTTCTGTCTCAGTAAATAGCACTAACCTATTGCCCAGACCAAAAACCCAGGATTTTTGAGATGCCCTGTTGGCAAGCTAAGCATATCAGTTCTGCATCCAATACTATATTTCCAATCAAGTCTATTTTTTTCTCATATCCACTGGTACTACTCTAATCCAAGCCACCATCATCTATTTCCTAGATAACTGCAATAACCTCCTCACTGGTTTCCTTGCTTCCATTTTGCCCCAGTACAATCTATATATTAATGTGTTTGATCTTTGTATCAACTGGCCTCTCCAACTAAACTGCAAATTTGGTGAGGGCAGGCTCAGTCTGTGATTTCTACTATGGGGTTTCTGTTATCTAGCTTAGTGCCTGACGTAATACGTACACAATAAATATTTCTTGGCTGAATGAACCAAAAACATTGGCTCATTTTTTCTCTTAGAAATGCTAATTAAGAAACCTAACTAGAGAAACTTAGTATTTTACAAGCAATTCAGATTGAACACGGTTGCAGCTCTGCTTCTTCTCTTTCTCACCTGCACACTCCAGATATGAACCTTATGCTACAGATGCCTTGGCCAACTTGTCCTTTCCTTTCTATATGTGTTAAGTTCTTCTGAGAAGTTCATCCTCCCCAATTATATGGCAAATTCACAGCCAGTTTTTGAGACCTATTTGCATATTCTTTTTTCAGGTTATATCTTATTCATGTCTATACTATGGCAGCACAGTGTAATGCAGTTAATGGGTTACCTATCTGTCTCTCCTGCTCCTCAAAGGCAATGGTTTGCTTTTACTTATCTTCACCTTTCTCACTGCCTCTCCCAAAATCTGAGCTCAGTAACTGTCGAATGGAGGTAGGGTCTGAACAGTCAACACTCAAAGCCCCAGCTTTATCAGCCACACACCCTCTACCTCCCCTGCCCTCCCCCATCACTTCATCTGCATCTAAATACCAAACCCACTAGTTCCGAAGCAGCGGACTAAACACTTCTCAAAGTGAATCCCTATGTAGGGTTTCTCTCCAGCCTGTGTTCACCAATTAGCAACTTCTGATATCCTTTACTGGCTAAGTAGGGGTGAGGGCCCCAGGAGGGGTGTATATCTCTCATCTTTCCAGTTGCTGCCTTCTGGGGTAATTTTTGCTCAAAATGTTTCCGCGGATGGGACAGACAAATGTCACCATTCCACTGCATTTTTCACAACCATTGGCATAATTATCTGTGACAAATTCATTTAAAGTGCGTTTGCCGGAAGAAAAATAGGCGTGTCTCGCTTGGCCTTCTGGGATTTGTAGTCCCGCAGGCTCCGACTCTGCCTGACTGGCCCTGGAGCTGCGACTACAGCTCCCAGGCCTTCTTCGAGTCCCTACTGCACAGACTCAGAGCCCCATGCTGGGAGGAGGTGGTTACTTTGTGTCTATTGTATCCCTGGATGTGTGTGTTGTACATTTTTCGGGACGTGAAATTGAAAGTGAAAAGCATGGCAGATGAGCAAGAAATAATGTGCAAATTGGAAAGCATTAAAGAGATCAGGTAAGTGGAACGTTGTAGCGCCTCCAAGCCCCCTTGTAGCCGCTCCCCTACCCCCTATTCGCTTCCTGAGGTAGAAGACTGAGTTACCTTGTAAAGTATCTATTGTTGGGCTACTTGCTGAAGGGGATGGTGGTGGTGGTGGGGGGTGGCAAAGGAGCCCGTACACCAGGAATTTCAAGGATGAGAAGGAGACTGGAAGAGTTGAGACAGATTATATATAGTGAGAAAGACAGGGAAACAGAGTCACTGACAGAAAAATACCTCGCCAGATGTAGCAAGCAGGTGTGGCAGAGAAAGCCAAATGGGAACTACGGCGGTGGGGTGAGGTGGAGGGGAGGTGTTGATCCAAGACAGTTTTATTCTTGGGGTGGGAGTTGGGAGGTGGCATTCTTGGACCCATTATTTTTTTCAGTGTTTGTTGGCTCCAATGTGTATTAGGCTCCTTGATCTTTAGGTACAGAGATTTTTTTTCAGTCTCCCATTCAACTTCAAGACCTGGAGCTCCGGTGAGCGTTTTGAGAGCAAAGTCTAGTGCGTTGGGGCTGGTGGCTGCTGCCAAGGACTGCCCGCTGGGAATGCTGAGGAATCCCAGCAGGCCGGGATTGGGAGGATGGCGAACACTGATTCCCGCGTGTGTATTTGCTTTCCACTCATTCACCACTTTCTTCCCCTCCTATCCTGTTCTCTGAAACGGGGATGGGAGCATTGGAGACTGGGGAGGAGGTTCTGCATCATTTAGTAAGATCGAAGCCGCTGCTCTTAGGTGCCAGAGGTGAAGGGCAAGCAGCCAAATGGGAGTTGCCTGGTGCCTTCCCCTCCCTACTCCTCTTTCCCTCTGGGAGTGGCTTTGGCTAGGCGACGAGTTGTCCTTGCTCAGAATACAATAGCGCCCAGTAAGTGGACTGCCTGGGCCAGCACCAGGCCTGCCTTCACTTGCCCTCCTCTGCCAGAGCACTGCCCCCTCCAGCTTCCACCCTCATTTTGAGGGTGACATAGGTTCAGTTGTCTCCCTTTAGTGTTTTCCAGGAACCTAGAGAAAAAGAGGGGAGGATATAACATGTGTCAATTTAATAAGACTTAGGAAGAGATTTAAATTTACCTTTGGAGACAATACCTAGAATGAGACTCCCACTTTATGGGGATGCACATTGACTTTTTTGAAATTTGGAAGGGTTTTATCTTTACTTCTGCAAGGGAGCAAAAGGAAGGGAACTATTATTTATTGAACCCATGGTGGGCCAAGCCCTTTGACCTACTATTGCTTCTTTCAGCAAGAGACCTGAGAGCTTCCTACACCTCCTTTACAATTGGGAAAATAGAGGTTCAGAAAATTTAATTAACTTTTCCAGAGCCAAACAGCTTGAAATGCTAGATTTTGGCAGGAACTCAGTCAATATGCATGTAGAGGCTCTGGTCTTCCCACTCTATCCCATAGCATAGAGGATCTTAGAAAGGGTGGAGAGGTGACATGTTTCAATTTTTTTTTCTGCAAAAGCACCAGGAAATAGGGAGTGAGATAACTTGGTGCAGGAAATAACCAGCTGTCATAATAACAATGTAGCTAATCAGAAGCTTTGGTATGCAAGTGTAGAGCCTAAACTTTTACTAGATTTTAAAGAAGCCCCTGCCCAACTCCAAGAGAAGGAACAGTTGGGAGCAAGGAAAAATGATCCCTCACAATGAAAATCAAATGGGGTGTATGACTTCTACTCTTACCAGTTTTAAACTAGTAATTTCTACCAGTACTAGCTGGTATGAGATCATCAACGGGCTAGAGAGAGGGTTGACTCCCATCCCCAACCAGCAGTAAATAAGAAACCCATACCAGCCTGGATGTCAGCCAGAGACTCAGTGGAGGACCTAGACATTTTCTGGCTTCCTTCTCTTTAAAATGACAATGTAAGAGAAGGCCTGAAAAAACAAAAGTTATAAAAGAGAACCAGAGTGTTCAAATTTAATTTTAAAAAAATCATATGTCATATCCAGCTTATCAACTTAAATGACAAGAGAAAGTAAACATGCCAGCATTGAGATGGCATAGATGTTAGAATTATCTGGCAAGAAATTAAAGCAGCAATCATTAAAAATCTCCAATGAGTAATTGTAATTATACACCTGAAACAAATGATAAAATAGAAAATCTCATCATACAAGTAGAAAGTCTCAACAGAGAAAGTCTCAATTCTTCTTTATTATATAGAAATATGAAAACTGAAAAAATACAGTAGCCAAAAGAGACCTTTAAAAATTCTAAACTATTTCAATTAAACTTATTAAGGTGACATTGGTTAAGACATTTATATGGGTTTCAAGTATACCAGTAGCAGAATTTGAAGTGGGGAAATTCAGGTCCCCACTCCTGACTCTGACCACATGCCCAGCCCTGTCTTTCCTCATATTAACCACAGTCCAACACTATGCTCCAGATCTTATCCCACAAAGTTCAAACTGGTCTATTTGCCCATACATTCCTTAAACTTTCAAGAGGTGATGAAGGTGCATGTGGATATGTGGAAAGGGGAAGAAAAGAATGGAACAAAAAGAGAAAGGAAAGGAGAAGAATTCATGAGACAGAGAGAGTGTAGCCACCCTAGATGAACTAGAGCCCTTTACTAGCTCCCCAAATGCATACTAATATCTCCTTAACATGCACATGATATTCACGCACACACCTTGTGCACACCCATGTCCTTATTCATACACAATGAGCTTCCTTCACTTACAAAAAGAAAAATTCATTTTGGAAGTAAATATTATGGTGTTAAATAGATCCTCTTAAGTGTAAGTTTCTACCCTGTGTGTTATCTTTTTCTCTCTACAGATCCTCTTGGGTGATCTCTTATACTTCCATGGATTCAATTATCCCTCAGTCCTAAATCTCTAACCTCTACCTTCCTTCCAAGCTTTAGCCCAATACATCCCACAAGCCTATTTGGTCTTGTCCACCTTTTGTTCCACAGACACAACTCAAATTAGCTAACTCTTTAGAATTTATCTTTTCCTGGTCTAATCCAGCTCTACCACCTAATCTCTTGTTTAATGCTATCATTCTCTGCACAGTTCTCTCATATTGAGACCTAAATGTCAATGTTGATTACCCTTTCTTTTTATAACTCACCTCTTGGTCACTTACTAAGTCCTACTCTTTCTACCTTCAACATCTGATTCAAATTACTGCCCCATTCTCCATCTCCATACTCATCTCCTTCATCATGGCTCTCCTGGATATTCATAATGTCATATCCATTTCCACCTATAGAATTATATGTTTGTCTTTGTTCTCTCCCCCCCACCCCACCATCTTCAATGCCATCCACACTACTGTGAGAACAACTTTCCTAAAGCACTGGTGTTATGTTGTTCCTTGCACACATTCACTGACTTTCAGTTGTCTATAGCAGCATTTTTCAAAACACAAGTTATGAAATATTAGTATATCATGAAATGAATTGATCAGTTGCTAGTAGCATTTGTAAAATAGATTATTTTTCAGTTCAAAAAAAAAAAAAAGAAGAAGAAGAAGAACAGAACTACCATATGACCCAGTCATCCCTTTCTGGGTATCTAACCAAAAAAACTCAAAAACATTTATTTACAAAGATATGCACCCCTATGCTCATTGCAGCATTATCCACAGTGGCCAAGACATGGAGGCAACCCAAGTGTGCTTCAATAGAGGATTGGATAAAGAAGATACTATATATATATATATATATATATATATATATATATATATATACACATACACACACACACACACACACACACACACACACACTATGGAATACTACTCAGCCATAATAAAAGATGAAATACTGTCATTTGCAATAACATGGACGGACCTTGAGAATATCATGCTAAACAAAATAAGTCAGAAAAAGCTAAGACCCATATGATTTCATTCATATCCATATATATAAAACCTAAGCGACCATCCAACCATCGAACTAGTAGCTATGATGTGCACTAACCACCTGGGGGCAGACACTCAACACAGGAGCTGCCGAGCTGTGGTGATTTGGCAGCTGTGGTTTTCAGGTGACACCCAGAACCAGAGAGGTGGGAGCCTGATTCCAGGGGGGTCACCTGAGAACCATTCTCTTGCAATCTGGGACCCATTGGGGGATGTTAGAGAGCCAGTTTCAGCCCGACCCCTGCAGGCCAGGCCAAGGGACCCCACTGATGCACCAATTCATGCACTGGGCCGCTAGTGTGGGATATAAAACTGAAACTCATAGATACAGACAAAAGTGTGGTAGTTATCAGAGGGAAGGTTTTGGGTTAGGAAAGGGTAAAGGGTGACACATATGGTGATGGAAGATGATTTGACTTTTAGTGCTGGGCACACAATGCAATATATAGATCATGTATCATAGAAATGTATGCTTGAAACCTATAAGATCTTTTTAGCCAATGTCACCCCAATAACTTTAATAAAAATAAAAGAATAAGAAATATTAGCAAACATTGCATAAGAAATGGTAGGTATTCTTTGTGGAAACTTTTCTGTTTTATGTCTGTGTATGTGTGTATTGGGTCACAATTGAAATTCATTTCTCACCATATTTCTTGCTGTGTCTATTGGACAGGTATTTGCCTATAATTGTTGCCATGGTATTCATGCCCCTCTCCCCCACAAGTCTGTCCCAGACAAAACTTTCTGATCTTATCTGCTGCTACTATCTTTTGTCCACACAGAAGTTCCTGTTTCATACATTCATACATCTTCCTTCCTTCCTTCCTTCCTTCCTTCCTTCCTTCCTTCCTTCCTTCCTTCCTTCCTTCCTTCCTTCCTTCCTTCCTTCCTTCCTTCCTTCCTTCCTTCCTTCCTTCCTTCCATCTGTCCATCATTGCTGTAGCAGCTTCAGCAGGCTCCTCTATCAGCTGGCTTGAGAGTTCACTCAAGAGCAAATCATAGAACAGCTGAGACCTTTGGGATTTGGGATGGGTAGTTTAAGCCAATCAGTGTTGGCCACTGAAGAGGGATTGGAAAGTAATTG